TTCTCTCTGGCTTCTGATATTCACAAATTAGCAGCGTGCCTATAAAGCAGTGTTTTCCTATGATGGCAGAAAGCTTGCCTTTCTGACTGGTGCAGCCACAGCTATCTTTGAGGGACTGGAGAATTGGGAGGGAGGCCGGTGCAATTCAGATGCTCAGGCTGGGCAGCTGAAGAGTCCAGGATTCAATAACCACATGTCCTTGGGAAACCGCAGTCTCTTTGCTCATCTCTACAAGAGGGAGAACACCAGCTCTCACCCCAAGGAGTGTTGGGGTGATATGCGTGGGGAATGGCTGAGATTTGTCCGCACCACTGCTTAGATGTGCAAAGTAAATGGGGTCAAGTGCATCTCCTTCACAAGTCATGGGGCTTGTCAAGACTTGAGCTTGGCATCTCAATCTCCTCTGGTCCAAAATGGTCTCTTCCAAGTCCCTTTCCACATATAACTTTTGAATCAGGGATGGTTTGAGAATCTCTTGAATGACAATCTCTTTCAGATCAACTTCCTGTCATTGGGATGGATGTGATAAGGCACCCCGTCCTTGTGTGCCTCTCCAAAACGACACCTGGGTACATGTGGGAGTGATAGGGAGAAAGGCCAGGAATCCGGTGCAGATCCATGCTGACCCCTGAAGTGGAGGGTCAATCTGGTTTGGTCCGGCCATGGACATGTGATGGCTAGGGGGTGACTGGTCCCATTGGACCTTTGGGCCACTACTGATGTCTCTGGGCCCAGCCATTTGCCTGTGACCATAAAGACTATGCATCTTGCAGTCCGTCTGTCCCCATCCTAGACCTCTGCTGGGCCACTGGTCCCCTCGCCCCTTCATGTTCTCCCCAGGAGGCGGGTGGGAACTTCTGGATCCCTGCATGCTTCCCCCAGCCCATGGGGAGCCAGGAACCCTGTCTCAGGCTCCTCTACCAGCTGCTTTCTTCTGCCTTTGTGTTAGGGACAGAATATTAGTGCCCTTCCCCCACCCCCATTCGTATGTTGAAATCCTAACTTCCAATGTGATGAAATTAGGAGGTGGGCTCTTTGGGCAGTAATCGGGTCTGAAGGTGAAGCTCCCACGAATGGGATCTGTGCCCTTACAAAAGAGACCCCAGAGAGCTCCCCTGCCCTGTCTGCCACGTGAGGACACAGCAAGAAGACTGCCGTCTGCAGCCTGGAGGAGGGCCCCCGCCAGAACCCAAACATGCTGACACCCTAATCTTAGAATTCCAGCTTCCGGAGCTGTGAGAAATCAATTTGTTGTTCACAAACCACCCGGTCTGTGGTTTTCTGTCACAGCAGCCCGAACAGACTCAGACACCTGCTACTGCTCCCCTGAATCTCTCTGGATGGATCTGTCAGGCCTCCCCCATCGTGGCTTCACCCTGAAAAGGAAGCAAATGGAATATGTGCCTGTGACTCTCTTGTCCTTCCCTCATTCTGTGGTGGCAGGAGGAAGGGACATCCTGGGCCTCCCTCTGCCATAGTCCCTTCTGCTCAGGGCCTTAGTGGGATCACTCTGTATGCTGAAAGAAACTTTATGATCTGGCCCATTGGTCTCCAAACTGAGGCTGTTCAGGGCACCTGGCTGGCTCAGTCAGTAGAGCATGCGACTCTTGATCTCAGGGTCATGAGTTCGAGCCCCACATTGAGCAGAGACATTACTTTAAAAAAAATAATAGGGGCGCCTGGGTGGTTTAGTCGGCTAGGCACCCGACTTTGGCTCAAGTCATGATCTCAGGGTTCATGAATTCGAGCCCCGCATTGGGCTCTGTGTGGGCAGAGGGGAGCCCAGCCTTGGATCCTCTGTTTCCCACTCTCTGTTCCTCCCACTCTCATTCTCTCTCTTTCAAAAAAAAAAAAAAAAATTAGAAAAGTAGTTTTTTTAATTTAAAAATAATTTTAAAAATAGTAAAATAATAAGAGAAAAAAGAAAAAGATTTAAAAAACAAACAGGGGTGCTTGGTGGCTCAGTTGGAAGAGCATGTGACTCTTAATCTTGGGTCATGAGTTCAAGCCCCACATTGGGTGTAGAGATTACTGAAAAATAAATAAATACACTTTAAAAAACAAAAAAAAACACTAAGGCTGTTCATCATGTATTTCCAGTCCTCTGCCTCCTAGTATGTGGCAGGATTATACTTCCTGTCCCTGTGGTTGACTTGGCCATATGACTATTCATGATGGGAGCAAGAGCAAAACATGTTGCTCCCCACCACAACTCAGGGCCCCCACCAACCCCCCACCAACCCACAGCTGGTGTTTAGTGTGAGGGAGAAGCTGCTGCTGTTACAAGGCATGAAGGTTTTGGGACTGTTTGTTATGCAGCATACCTTGAGCATCCTGACTGATCCACTTCTATCGCCCCTAAAAGAAGTTTTTAAAACTTGTGTGCACACCCTTGCACATTTTGAAGATGACATCTACAGTAGTCACTAAATATTTAAATTATTGCAAGGGACGGGCCCCTGAGTGGCTCAGTCAGTTAAGCGTCTGACTTCGGCTCAGGTTGTGATCTCACAGTTCGTGAGTTCGAGCCCCACGTCACACTCTGAGCTCTCGGTGCAGAGCCTGCTTTGGATCCTCGGTCTTCCTCTCTTTCTGCCCCTCTCTTACTTGCATGCCCGCTCAATCTCTCTCTCAAAAATTAGTAACAATAAACTAAAAAAACATTTGAAAAATTCTCATGGGGCACCTGGGTGGCTTAGTCAGTTGGGCATCTGACTTCAGCTCAGGTCATAATCTTGCAGTGCATAAGTTCGAGCCCCGCATCAGACTCTGTGCTGACAGCTCAGGGCCTGGAGCCTGCTTCAGATTCTGTGTCTCCCTCTCTTTCTGCCCCTCTCTTGGCTCATGCTCTGTCTGTCTAGCTCTCTGAATAATAAATAAAACATTAAAAATATTACAAGGGTTGGAATTTCCCACCTGATGTAAATACTAATATTTAACATAAAAAACTATTATGTAAGTCTTTTTTTTTTTTTTTTAAGTAGGCGTCACACCCAGCGTGGAGCCCAATGCAGAGCTTGAACTCATGACCCTGAGATCAAGAACTGAGTGAGATCAAGAGTCAGATGCTCAACTGACTGAGCCACCCAGGTGCCCCTGTTATGTAAGTCTTCTAAATGTATCCAGTGGAATCTAAACATTAAAACACTTTCTTCCCTGCTATCTTCAGGTTTTTAAATCCACCAGCAAGCTCTTCTCCAACATTTGGAAATTTTACACTTTTTCCTTTTTCTCCTTAAATCCATGTTTCCATTCCACATCCTCTGTACATCTTTGCCATAAGGGGATGTATTTTTAGGCTTTAAAGTCTTTTATCGACCACTTTATCATACTTGGCTAGAACCAAAAAAGTATATAAACTGAAATTTTGAAGTTTACTTTATTCCCTACCAACCGTAAGTCCTAAGTGTTAAACGTGTCTCCTGAATTGAATTACCGGTACAAACAGAATGAGTACACAATTGACCAAAAGAACAGAAAAAACAAATTTGATGAATAATTCTTAAACATAAAAAACATCTTTTATTGAGGCATATACTGCTAAAAACTAATAGATGTGGTGCTAGCAGTCTTTTTTTTATAACAGAAATAGATTATGAAACATTTTGTAAGATGAAGACTGTAATTAGAATACTTTATGTGATTTGATATGACAAGTTAGACTCCATTCTTGAATACCACAAAGAATCTGAAAGAAATATGGAAATACTGGGGTGCCTGGCTGGCTCAGTTGGAAGAGCACATGACTCTTGAGCTTGGGGTCATGAGTTCGAACTCCACATCAAATGTAGAGATAAATAAATAAATAAATAAGCTTAAAAAAAAAAAAGAAATATGGAAGTATCACCTGTCAGTTGCAGCCAATGTGTCCTGAAAAGGTTGATATTCCCAGAGACCATGCTCCCTGCTCAGCATCCCTAACCTCCACTATGCCTGCTGTTCAGAGGCACCTGCTGTCCCCACCTAACTAAGGATGATTCTTTTTTTTTTTAAGTTTTTATTTATTTATTTTGAGAGAGGGACAGAGAGAGTGATCAGGGGAGAGGCAGAGAGAGAGAGGGAGAGAGAGAATTCCAAGCAGGCTCCACACTGCCAGTGCAAAGCCCCAGTGCGGGGCTCAAACTCACAAACTCTGAGATCACAACCTGAGCTGAAGTCAGCTGCTTAACTGGCTGAGCCACCCAGGTGCCCTGAGACTAATGCATTTCTAGACAAAAGGAGAGGTGAAGACAGTAGATCTTAAAAGTTTTCATCACAAGAAAAATATGTTTGCAACTATGTATGCTGGTGGCTGTTAATCAGATTTATTGTGATGATCATTTCATAATATATACAAATACCAAATCATGATGTTGTACACCTGAAACTAATATAATGTTATATGTCAATTATACCTCAGTTAAAAAAAAATTATACCTCACTTGAAAAAAAAAAAGGAGGGGCGCCTGGGTGGCTCAGTCAGTTGAGCTTCCGACCCTTAATTTCAGCTCAGGTCATGATCTCACAGTTGGTGGGATCAAGCCCCGCATCAGGCCCCACACTGGCAGCGCAGAGCCTGCTTGGGATTCTCTCTTTCTCCTTCTCTCTCTGCTCCTCCCCTGCTCACTTTCTTGCTCTCAAAATAAGTAAACTTAAAAAAATAAAAAATAAAATAAAAACTTAATCAGTTATCTTTTAAAAAGATTCTTTTTCAGATTCTGTGTATCAGTCAATAAATTAGTAAAACCTGTTTTCTGGTTTTCCCAGCCCCTGCACCTGGAAAGACTGTGCACCCCAGAAGTTTGTGTGCCCTTAGTTTGAAGACATCTGAGCTTATCTGCCAGGCCTGGGAACTAAAAAAGTTCACAAAATCCTTCTTGTTTCCAACCCTGCTGGCTCTCAGATCTGAACTGGAGTAAAAGCTTTACATTCCTGCAGCAAGACCAAGGCAAACGATGGCTTTGGCAGGGAGGTCACAGCCAAGGGAAGACAAAGGGGAAAAAAAAATCACAGTGACACAATTCAAAACTCTCCTCCACATTATACTTGCCAAGTGCTTAGCACAGTGACTGGCAAGTAGTAAGCAGTAAATAAAGGAGAGAGCCACGCAGATGCATTTCACATGCACCCCCCTCAGTCTGGCACGGTTCTGAGCTTCAAATGTCATTCATTGCGGGTGTTGAGTAGGTTGGTGCACAGTTGCTGCTGGACTAACAAGGTAAGGCTCTGAACTAGAGCCTTCGGCCACCTGGCGGTGAACTGTGCACCTACCCCACGCCAGCCCCTGAGCCGCTGCTGTCCACCTGCTTAAGGGCATCGCTGTGGGCTTCAGGCACAAGGAGATGGAGATAGGGAGTCCGTGGGAGGTGGCTGGAGGCTGTCAGTCATCCCAGGGGGGTCGCTCAGTCCCCCTTCCCTGCCTGCGAGCTGATATCTGGTGAAGAAAAGGCAGAGAATGGCTCAGAGCCCAGGAAGCTCCACCTCCTCCCTACCCTGGGGGGAAGTCCTGGAGTGCCTGACCCTCTTTGCTACCGTCAACCAGCGGGGGAACAAACACAAATTCTGGAGTCTGGCAGACCCGGACACTAACACGGCCTTACCTGGCCCACCGCTGACCACTCGCCTTGGAGGTCTGCCCGCGCACCTGCTGCTTAGAGGCGCTTCGTCTGACCATCATAGCCATTAACCGATGAACAGTGACGGTCAAGGAACAGCTGCCACCCTGTTCATCCTGGCCGCTCCAGACTGTCGATTCCCCCCTTTTCCCACGCTCTGTCCCCTTGATTTTATAACCTAACCCACGTTGGGAAAGCCTCTTCCCATTCCCATATCCGAATTCATCCTCACCTTTTCATTATCTCCACGGTTAAGACCTCCGTTTGTGTTGTATTAACTTTGTTCCGTCCGACTTCGTAAACTCCGCCCTTTCCACTGGTCCATAACTGAATCATGGGAAAGACAGACTCTATGAACGCAGTCGACCTCCTCCAGTGACACCTAGGCGAAGGAATAGGGTCCCACCAAGTTTTGGTGTTGGAAAAATTGTAATTAACATCCAAGGGCTGCTGAAGGAGGCGCGTTCTTGGCCAACAGTGTCCTGCAGGGGGCGCTGTCCACTCAGTGACTCATCACCGCTCAGAGATGGGGGTGGAGTCTGGTTTCACAGCCCGTCTGGATCCCAAGTGCTGACAGGTCAGTTGCTAAGTGTCTACTTATTAAAATGTTTGCTTTGCTAGAAGCAGTCCCAGAGAGCTCAAGGAAATCACACCCTTCTTTAAAACTGCAAGAAAGTACATGTATCCTGCAGCATACACACAATTATTTCAGAAATACGCCATCAAACCACTCCTACAACAAGCCTTAGCAAAGGTCAGGGTTTGAGAGCTGTTCTTTTTATCCTTGGAGAATGCTCCGTTAATGGGTACCGGAATCAAGGATTCTTCAGTGTGTGCGGGAATGTTACTGATTTGATATATAATTAGGTTTGTTTTTTTTTCTATTCGTATTCCAGTTCAGGTTTGCTTTTTTCTCTTTTCTGGTTTAACTTTACTTTTTTTGGATATGTAAAACATTTCCACGATTCAATGTCAAAACTATGAAAAAGAGGGGAACTCAGAGAAGTGTGTTCCTCCGATTCTACACCCCAATTCCAACGTGCGGGTGTTTTCCCCACCCCCAAGTGTTTCTCCGGCACCAGCTGGGTGTCCGACAATTCAACTCAATTCTGATGCTGTCTACCTGGAGAGACCATCAGACGCCACAGGTTAAGGGCTCAGCCCCACAAGACTGCCACCCCTCTGTCCCACCCCACCTCACCCCTTCAGATGCCAATCGCAAATCCAGGTTACTGTGGTAAGTTCCAGTGACCTCCTCCCACGGGTTTTATTAATTTGCTAGAGCGGCTCCCAGAAGATAGAGAAACACTTTACTTACTAGAATACCGGTTTATTATAAAGGCTGTAACTCAGAAACAGCCAGATGGAAGATATGCATCTGGCAGGGTACAGGGACGACGCGTGGGGCTTCCGGGCCCTCTACAGGAGCGCCACTCTCTCCAAGTCTCCACGTGCTCACCAACCCGGAAGCTCTCGGAACCCCATGCTTCTGGGTGTTTATGGAGCTTTACTGCACAGGCACGTATGATTAAATCGCCCACCACTGGTGAGGTCAGTTCAACCTCCAGCCCCTCTCCCCTTCCCTCAATGCAGGGGGTGAGCCTGAAATTTCCAACCCTCTAATCACGTGGTTTGTTCTCCAGGCAACCAGTCCTCATGGGGGGGGGGTCCCAAAGTCACCTCATTAACATAACAAAAGACACGTTTTGCCGCTCTCACCACTTCGGAAATTCCAAGGGTTTTAGGAGCGCGGTGCCAGAAACTGGGATGAAGACCAAGTACTTATTTGTTGTTATAAATCATAGTATCACAGGGACACCTGTGTGGCTTAATCGGTTGTGCGGCCAATCTTGATTTCCATTCAGGTCATGATCTCACAGCTGGCGAGATAAGAGCCCCGAGTTGGGATTCTCTCTCCTTGTCTCTCTGCCCCTCCCCTGCTTGTTCTCCCTCCCTCTCTCTCTCAGAGTGAATAAATTTAAAAAAAAAATCACAATAGCACAGTTCCCTTTCCCATCCTGGAAGTTCATTTACAGCAGCCTCCTCCAGGAAGCCCTCCACACCCACTGTTTTTATTTTTATCTTATTTCATTATTTCATTTTATTTATTATTCTCAAATTAGTTAACATACACTGTGGTCTTGGTTTCAGGAGAACACAGTGATTCATCTCTTATGTATGACACCCAGTGCTCATCCTCCTTAACGCACCCATTTAACCCCCTCAATCCAAATTCTGTCCTCTGTATTTGAGTCACTTATGGTTTGCCTCCCTCTGTTTTTATCTTATTTTTCCTTCCTTGCCCCCGTGTCTTCTGTTCAGTGTCTCAAATTCCACGTATGAGTGAAATCATAGCATATCTTTCTCTGACTGACTTATTTTACTTAGCATAATACCCTCCAGTTTCATCCACTTTGTTGCAAATGGCAAGATTTCATTCTTTTTCATCGCTGAGTAATATTCCTTCATATATATAATATATATTATATATAATATATATATATATATATATATATATATATATATATATACACACACACACACACACACACACCCCACCTCTTTATCCATTTGTCAGTTGACAGACATTTGGGCCACCTGCAAGAGGGAAAGTCTTGTTGGATGACATCTAAGAGCCCTGCCAGCTCCAGGCCACCTCATGCCCTGACACAAACCTGGACTGCTGAGCCCTCAATCCAAGAGAGACAAGGTGGAGGCCAGAACAGTGGGTGTGGAGTGCTTCCTGGAGGAAGCTGCTGTAAATGAACTTCCAGGATGGGAAAGAGAACTGTGATATTGTGATTTATTTTAATAAAATAAAATAAAGTAATAAAATAAAATGACTTTCCCCTTGCTGATGGAAACCAGTAAGTCAGGCTTCTGGCCACCTGGGCAGGAACCTTGTGCACACTCCCTCCAGGAAAGGTAAATCCTCTCTGGCAGTGCGTGGGGTGGGGGGGAGGTGCTCACCTTTATCCAGCTGCTTCCAACCAGCGTGTTTCCATCTAAATCCTCTTACAACACTGTCTGAGGGCTACTCTTCCAAGAAAGACACAGAGGCATGGAAAGGTCAAAAGACCCGACTGCTCTGACCTCTACAGTCCTTGCCTTTCAAGCAGCATCACACAAAAACGTAACATTCTGCCCCTCCTGCTACTCAGTTTCATCCTCGGTTCCCAGCTTGTACCTGCAGCAGCTGCTGCCGTTGCCTTGCAGGCTTCCAAGCCAGCAGTGCACAAGCCATTTTTAGCTCTTCCTGCTCCTTCACCCTGGCATCCAGTCTGTGGGCACAGAATCCAGCCCTCTAGGGCTGGAGGAAACCACAAAGGGCATGCAGTTCGGCCTGCCCACGCAGCACTTGGATTCCCTCTGAACAGTGGTAGAAGCCATTGCCCAGGCTCAGCCTAAACACTGCCCCCCACCTTCGTGCCAGGGAGGTGGCCACTTCCTGACATTATCTGTTACATCTTGAAACAGTTATGATGTTCAGAAGAGACAGCCTTGGGCGGAGCTGAAATCCGCCTCCCTGTTGCCTCTCCTTTTTACTTCCCTCACACACTTCACTGGTCCTGGATTTTTTTTCCTGGGGTATCACAGAATCGACCTTCCCCCACCCCATCTTTGCCCTTTAAACCTGAAGGTTAGGGGGCGCCTGGGTGGCTCAGGTCATGATCTCACTCTTCATGAGTTCGAGCCCCACGTTGGGCTCTCTGCTGTCAGCAAGGAGCCTGCTTTGGAACCTCTGCCCCCTCTCTTTCTGCTCCTCCCCCACATGCTTTCTCTCTCTCTCTCTCTCTGAAAAATAAATAAACTTAGGGGGCACCTGGCTGGCTCAGTCAGTTAAGTGTCCAGTCATGATCTCACAGTTTGAGTTCGAGCCCTGCGTCAGGCTTTGTGCTGACAACCTGGAGCCTGGAGCCTGCTTTGGATTCTGTGTCTCCCTCTCTCTCTGCCCCTCCCTGCCTCACACTCTTTCTCTCAAAAATACAAACATTAAAAATACATATAGGGGTGCCTAGGTAGCTCAGTCAGTTAAGTGTCCAACTTCTGCTCAGGTCATGATCTCAAGGTTCATAGGTTCGAGCCCTGCATGGGGCTCTGTGCTGACAGCTCAAAGCCCAGAAACTCCTCGCTCTCTGCTCCTCCCCTGCTCGCACTCTGTCTCTATCAAAAATGAATAAACGGTAAAATAAATAAATAAATACACACACACACACACACACACACACACACACACAAATAAACAAACTTTAAAAAATAATACAAATTTAAAATAAACGTGAAGGTTAGGATCACACCCCCGCCCAGGGTAAATATTCCCCAGTGCTCCATTGGACGTGGCTTCAAATCACTAGCCTGTCTGGCCCCTACTCCAAACATGCTCCCGTTTAGGCAAGTCAAGCATTGTAAACTCTGCCTGTGAGGCCCAAGCAAGTGACCTCGGGGGGGGGGGGGGGGGGGGG